CTCCCATTCCCGCTCCCCGCCGGGCCGGGCTGAGCCCTCGCAGCGGGTTCCCTGCTTGGGGCGGCGGGAGCTCAGGGCAGTTAAACAGAAGAGGGAACAGGAAAAAAAGGCGTTCCTCAGAACTGTCCGTTTCCACATTCACCTGTGGGAGGGTCGCGGTGGTTCCGAGTCGAGCCTGCTCTCCATGTGCTAATTAAACACGCCCTCCACGCTTTTTTAATCCAGAGCAACGTCTACGTACTTAGTAAACATCTGAGTTTCTCTCTAAGCTTCTCTGAGTTACTCTGAAGCTCTATGAGTTTGTCACCAACGGGTTCTGTAGCTCAGCAGCACCTCGTGTGAAGAACCAGCTCCTTGTTTCCTGAACCAGGCTCTTGCAGCCCACACCTGCTGCTTTTTAATTCTTGCCTTGGAAACAGCAGTTGATCTCTGCCTGCTGCGTTCCTGCCTCTCATGGCTGCAGGCCCCATCATACCCCTTCTCGCTCCTAGGCATACTTACCTCTTCCTCAGACACATTCCCTTCCAGAAGCTGTTCCAGTCTTCAGATGTCTCATTACTCTTCCTGAACCTCTTCTAGTTTCAGTTGAGTGCTATTGGCATTTTTTAGGTAAAGAAATAGGGTGTAACAACTGCATAAATGTGTGGTCATCCATACCTTAGATACTGTGTAGAGCTCTAGTCTCTTTGTCTCAAAAGGGCATATTGGGGGTGTTGCACAAGGACGAGCAAATGCATGGGAAGGCTTCTGTCAGCCAGTCCCTGGAGTGGGCAGAGACCCTTCAGGCCAGAAACGAGTCAGCCTGAGGAGTGAAGACAGGAGGGTGACTTACAGGTGTCTGTGAAATGACACATGGAGAGAGTCAGCGTGAGCTTTACCATTGGCTTTCTCTTCCCACACACACAGTATTTGCATCATGGGAAGCCATGGTCACTGCAAGAAGAGGTGGTTATTCATAAAACTTCTTACCAGCTGACATTATTGATTACAAAACTTTATTGTGAATTTAAGGAGTACTGGACAAGTGTTTCTTAAGAGAACTGCATTCAAAGAATAAATTACTTTAGATGCTGAAATAACTCCTGTAGTGGAATATTGTGAGTCTGCAGTAGAGTGGGGAGACAGCTGCTTTTGGCCACCTTCAAGATAGAAGGATGACCAGTATCAAGCCTTGAGGATGGAAGAATGGTCAGTATCAACTCTTGATCTGAACTAGTAGTCAGGGACAGACACTCAGCACCTCTGTGTGGGCTAGTTTGGCTACCCCATCCATTCACTGTCTGGGGATGTGGGACTTGGATCCCTCTGCACAAGGAGCTGAGGCTTAAGCAGAGTGCAGTACCTTGCTGGTTTTAAGGTAGCAGGGCACATGTCCAGCCTTTCAATAACTTTCCAGCTTGTTCATCTCCAGGATTGCAGCCCCTTCCAGGTAATTTTCACTATGGTGGCACACCATTATCCAGGTTTTCTTGATATGAGTTGCAGACACCACAGATGATGAGCTTTTACTGACTTTGGTGTCTTGGGACACCTTTTCATGGTGTCTGTCTTTAGACCCAAGTTATTCCTGGTAAAAGATCTAAGGGGCTAACACCATCCTCTTCCTCTGCCCCCCAAGTGATGAATAGGATGGGTTTCCAGTTGTATTCCAGTTCCTTGGCCTTTCAGTTGTTTTTTCCCACCTCAGCTAAGGTTTTGTTACAGTGAGTTGATGTCTTTAGGGTACCACAATGGAATGACCATTGGGCAGAGGAGAAATATGTCCTTCTGCTTGTACAGTTTCCAAACTGTATTCCCGAGTTACATGGGCAGCTGGGAAAGCCTGACTTACAGACATGAGTGAGGTTGACACTATTTGGCAGAGAAATGGTGGCCAGTCACCTTTGCTGCAATGTATTGGTAAAAACTCTGAATAAGCACTTGTATACTTTACAATGAGAGTATTTTTGAGGTGGCTTTGTAAATGTGGAGCCCATCTCCTGCCTGCCTTCCCCCATAGGCAAGGAGCTGCCTTTCAAGGAGTGTTGTGGATCTTGAAGGATCTGACCTCTGGAGCAAGCTATGTTTTCTGTCTTTATGGGGTGAGCAGTGGTGCATGGGCACACGAGGCACTTGCCTCAGCTGACCTGGTGACTGCAGGTTTCCAGACTTCTCTGAATAGAGGCACACAGCTATATTTCATCATAAAAGCCATACTCTGTCTCCAGGAGTACTGATTATCATAACTTTATGATTATGGGTGGACCAGTTGTGTAGGGGACAAAAAATTGTAGGAATTTTTGAGTGTCTTAATTTTTCCACAGTGTTCCTTCTAACTTGTGGTGTGTTTGTTTTTTTTCTCCACATTAGGATTTGGGTATATAAAATTAAGAGTTTTTCATACATGACAGCTGGAAATTAATGTGAAATAGGTCTTGGGTAGACGAGGCCATGGAGTCTCCTGTGCTACGATTTTCACTTGGTATTATCTCTTTTCATGTGTATTTTCTCTTCACTGAAGAACTTTTACTCTGTACTGATGACATTTACCTGAGCAGTTAATAGCACTTTAATAGTTTTCAAATGTAATTCTTGAGCAGGAAAATGTCTTCATGTTAATGATCTAAGTCAGTGTGTAGACAATCTTTATGTGTTCAGAAAAATATCTTGAATTCAAAGGTGTTCTTAATAGATGTATGTAATATTTCTGCCATGTGTTCTGAGTTACCTCTCCTTGCAATCTTACAGTTAATTACTTTGTTCCTAAGGCTTTAATTTAGAAACCCAAAGGACAACTATTAAAAAGTCTACTAAAAAATGTATAGAAAAAAGATGTCTGTGGCTGTATGCCTTTTTATCTACTGAAACAATGGTTACTGCTTGATCAGCAATTTTATCTGTGAGGGTTTAATTTCATGGGCCTAGATTTAGTTCTTGCCTATTTGGGCTCACTGAATATAAAATCAAAATTTCAACTTTTGACTTAAGAACTCAAGTTTGTATCTGTTTCAGTTTCTTAGGGTCAAATCTTAGATGTGTCCTTGCCAAGGGGATAACAGCAAACCAAATTACTACATGTATGATGCACTTAATAAAAAATATAATAGCATAATAATAATATAAAAACATAATAACATGAATACTTCTACATGTATGATGCACTTAATAAAAAATATAATAGCATAATCTTCCGATCTAAACATAATAACATGAATACTTCTAAAGGATGTTTTATTCAACAACAACAAAAAGGGACAAAATTATCCCTTTTGTTTTTACTAGGTAGCTTGACTCCAGAGTTCTCTTGCTTGAGGCTGATGAATGGGTGGGTCTTTAGACTCTGAAGGATTCCCTGCTTGGCCAACCCAGCCTGAGAAGCCAGCAAGTCTACTCTGGATGAGCCAAGAACTTCAGTCCTTAGTCACCTGTAGGTGCACACCATGTTGGTCGAATGGCAGAGTAGTTATTTTAGTGAGCACTGAGGACTTCTCTCACAGGTTAGAGGTACCGCTTTTCCATCAAGTAGGGAGAAGCTGTGTTTTAGGAAATGTCTTGCAAGTTCTGCAAGGGAAGGGTGGAAGGGAAGGAGCCCATCGGTTCTGGAGTTCTTGTAATGCAGGGAGTGGGGAGAAGAAAACCAGTGAACAGCTGTGCTTCCGATTACCCTGATGTGGAATTGCACACCGCTCAGGCGGCACGCGCTTCTCTTGGTGACTCTGCACAAAGGCCCTTTCCAAGCCCTGGTAAAGACATTGCTCGTGTATTGATTCTTAGATCAGACGAAGAGAGAATGGTTTTTTTGGGAGAATAACCTTTTTGTAGCGTTCTCCAGTACTTTTACCATGCTGGGTTCCTTTGGTCCACGAGGTGGCACTGTGTCTTGTGGAAAGGAAGGACACCAGCGCTCCAGTTTCCCTCTGGGCAGATGCATCCTGGGGGAAGCCGGTGCAGGGTATCCCAGTTCAGGAATTTTCTGGAAACAGCAGTTTTTCCATTACCTTATACACCGTGCCTTTTTGATACGAGTTGTGCTCGTGTTCTTACGCACAACACGCACAAATTTTTGGTCAGTGGTATTATCTTAGAAAAAAATCTTCTTTATCTTCTTGCCTGCTTTTGTGTTTAGGTGGTTTCTGGCTTTCAGTGGAATCTTTTTATGGCGTGGAAGTAAAAGCCAGGTGATGCTGATCCTCGAATACTAATTTCCTTCATTTTGAATCAGAATTACGTGACTTTTAAACATGGGAAGGAATGACCAGTAGCTACCATAATTTCTGGGAGGAGAGGGAATATTTGCTATAGGATTTACCAAATGCACTAAAGGTTTGTTGTTTTTTTTCCTGCAAGCTGATACAAAAAAGCATGCATGGATTAGGAAATCAAGAACTGTAATGACAATGTCCCTGGAAGAATACAAGCCAAATTTGTATTGTATAAAAGGGAACAGTGTTGCTGCTGGTCCTGAGTTCTCTCTGCAGAGATGTCATTCCAGTCTGCCTCTCACTGATTTAAAAGCTCCTAAGCTGAGGGAATATATTTTCTTTTGTTATAAGGTTTTCCAAGGTAGCCATAAGACTAAATCTTCAGTGTCAGTAGAGGTTGTTTTACCTCAGCAGAGTATGCCATTATTAAAAGCAGTCGCCATTGAAAGGGACTAATTTAATTATTTTTTTTCCCCCTATTGTTCATGTCTAGAAAAATGGATGATGATGATGACGACGTTCCCCAGCTTTCATCCCATGCGTTGGCTGCCCTCCAGGAGTTCTATTTGGAACAGCAGCAGAGAGAAGGCATGAAGACCTCCCAAGGGTTTAATCAATATTCTGTTGGCTCAATAGAAGAAGACTGGGTAAGAAACTAAATTCCATGAATGAAGCACAGTTAGAGCAATAGCCTTTACCAGGTTTCTTTTGTGATTGGATAATAAAACAAAATGTAAAAGGGGAACACTTGAGATGTGACACTGCAGGGGTATTTGCTTCAATATTCTGGGCAAAGTTTTCTGTTCCCTATGTGGGGGGAATGACAAAGTGAAATGACCTGAAAAGAGGGGATAAAGCTGCCAACAGAAGCATCTGTCCCTTCTGTAAATCTTAACTCCAGTCTGGCATGTGAAAATAGTAAAAGATTCTTCCTAGAGTTTGAGAGAGACTGTAATGAGACTGAGTGATCTTTCCTTTCACATTGTATTTCCTTCTGTGTTTTATTTCTTTGTTTTTGTGGATGGCTGCCTTGCTTTTTCATTTCTAATGGGCTGATGTTTTATTTGTCTTTGGCTTGGCTTTTTTTTTACTCTTCCTTTTTCTGATCTCTTTTGATTTAGTACTTTTATCCCTTACTTCATTCTATACTGTCACTTTTGAAGTTTCTTTCTTCAGCTTCTGCCAAAGTAACAAAATTTAAGAACACGTAAATATTGTGCATCTGCACTTTTGAACTACCCTTGTCAGTGGCTTTGCTCTACTTGGCTTTCCTGATGCTGCAGTAAATGCTTTTGAAACACTCAGTGTAAGCTACATGCTGCGTGTTGCTGGATTACAGAAACAAAAAGGCTATCAGTAAATAAGTCACCTTTCCAATGTTTCTATTTGTGAACACAAAAGCTGCTATGGATTTTGGTTTTCTTCAAATATGACTCACCTAATTGTACATAGCACAGTCAGAAGATTTGATGTTGTTTATGGTGTCACCTTCCTCAGCAGCTGAGCCAATTTTGGTACAGTGATGAAACTGCATCACGCCTGGCTAATGAAGCGGTGGTGGCAGCTGGAAAAGGTGGCAGGTAGGTTTTAATAATTACATTGTAGATTTAGCATGTCTTGCTGTAAATACTGTGTTTCTACTCTGTGGCCCAAGTGTGCAGTTTAATTCATTACTCGTTGTACTTCAGCTTTGTTCAACTGAAGTATTGCAGAAATGCTATGTGATTCTTTAGTTATTAGTTCATACTGATCTTACCAGTTAGCATTTCACTGAATGCTGTAGACTCTGCCTTGTAAAAGTTTATTATTAATCTTCTTAATTTTTGAGAAATACAATGAACTCCAGAGCATATTAATTGCTTGTGATTCTGTTTTTATAAAATGTTTCTGTAGAACAGATGGAAAAACTTGGTTTTCTTCCTATTTCTGTACGGAGTAATATTCAAGTATATTTCCTTAGTGTTCTAAAACCAGGTCTTCTCTCTAGTTAAGCTTAAGGTCTTTGTGCAACATGAAGGCTGAATAGGTAATGGCTTTAATATTTATGTTATTAAATTAATTATTGGTTCAAATGGAGGAAGAATAGCTTGTGTTTTTGGGACTCATGTTTAAAGTGTTTTCCCAAAGAAGCCCTGAGGACTGCTGTAGAGGTTTTTTTGTTGTTGTTTGCCTTTTAAATTAATATTCCTAGTTATTGTCTCTTTTTCAGGATAGCCTGTGTTAGTGCACCAAGTGTGTACCAGAAACTGAAAGAACAGGGTGGTGAAGATTTTTCAGTGTGTATCCTGGAGTACGACAGGAGGTTTTCTGTATATGGAGAAGAATTTATCTGCTATGATTACAACCAGCCTTTGAACTTACCTGAACATCTCCTGCCACATAGTTTTGACATCGTAATAGCAGATCCACCCTATCTATCAGAGGAGTGTCTTCAAAAAACTGCAGAGACCATCAAATACTTAACAAAAGGAAAGATTCTGCTTTGTACAGGTATAATTAATAAAAATATCAGGTCACCATTAAGTGTCTTTTCCTCTCTCTCAAAAGATAAACTTACTAAAGTGAGAAAAGTACTAACTCAGTAATATTAATTTGTTATTAATTCAAGGAGGAATATGCATCCTAAGCTTCTTACTGGAATATTTTAGTTCAACCTTTATTTTAAACTGAAGGCATGTGTTTTTTAATAGTTAAAGTCAGTTCTTCTTTCATTGTGGCATTATGAGTTTTACTAAATGGTTAAAGAATCCAAAGGATCATCCTGCAAAGGTCCAGAAATTTTTTAAATTTTTTTCGTGTAAAAAGGCCCCTCTATCATTGCAATGATTGAATTCTGGGTCTGACAAACAGAGGTGCAACTTACTGTTAATGCCTTGCTGCATAACCTTATGCATTTGTGATTTTCTCCACATGTCAGTAGCTGCAGGATTTCAGCTGCCACATACTACCTGGCATCTAAGGTGAGCTAAGTAGAAAAAATGACAAATAGGTTGGAATGGCCTTTGTCCAGTAAAGTGGGATGATTTTAGCCAAGTCCTTTCCTTACAGGTAAACATAGAAACTGAATGTGAGTCAATATGATTCTGCCACTGTCATCCAAGTAAGGAGATTTTAGGCACTGAAATGCAGCAAGAGAAATAAAAAAACAGTGATAAGAGCAGTGAAACGGGAAAACTTACCAACTATAGTTGCAGGTCCTTCTTTATGAAGTTCACTTGCTGGTTTAAGAAGTGATGAGTATCTGCCTTAGTCGTGGTGTTTCTTAAACTGTAATCTTGTGACAAAGACATCCAAGAAACTTGTGAAAAAACAAATGACAAAAGCCCTCTGTACATACAATTTGAGGGAAGTCAACAAGCAGGCAAAATGAAGAAAAATTAAGATCACACATGGCCATAGAAATCCTACTTCTTTGTTAAATTGCACATGACAGTCATGCATATGGATGATTCTCAGAATTCTTTTCCCTAAAATGGATGGGTCATCCTTCAGTTTTCAAAGTTTGAGAAATGCTGCTCAAGGAAGTGACTTCTCAGTGTGTAGCTGCAAATACCACACTGCTGCTTGTTAAATGTGATCTGTTTGCATTTCCCATGGCTCCCTACCATTTACTTTCTTTGGCAGGTAGCAAGGAGGCTGTGCTCAAGTTTGTTTGCTATAAAATGAGCACTGATCTTACCCTCTACCTAATTTTATGAAACTTACCTGACATTCATTTCCTTGGGACATCCATTCTTTCAGATTTATTGTAAATTTTCCAGTAGATTCAGTTGTTAAATACAATGTAGCTGCTTTAAGCCTTGTTTCCTTAAAAAAAGAAGGCTCTGTGTTTAAGTATTTGGGAGGAGCTATTAAAGGCTGAACATTCTGTTACTGTTTCCCCATCAAATGCTAATATTTTTGCTGCAGGTGCAATCATGGAGGAACAGGCAGCAAAGCATCTTGGTGTGAAGATGTGCAAGTTTATTCCAAAACACTCTCGAACTTTAGCCAATGAATTTCGGTGTTATGTGAACTATGCTTCTGGACTGGACTGATTCATGTAAGAAGATCTGCAGTTTCTTAAGTCAACCTCCCTTCTGGTTTTCATCAGTGATTCCACATTTCTCAATGCTGAAATATTCAGCTCCAAGTACTGTTTTCTGGGCTGGCTGTAATCAACACAGTGTAACACCTTCTCCTTTTAAAATGTACAAACATTTGCAGCTACTATGTTTTGTATTTTACCTATTAGGTAAATGGGGACCAAACAATGCAGGTGCTAGATAATGGGAACTTCTCTGTTAGAGTTTAGATCTAACTGGTAGTTTTTATCATTCAAGGACTCTTCAGTGACCTCTCTGAAGTGACTTTTTAACTGGTTGGTTTATAAGGACACAGAGGTGCTTGCCTGGTAGACATCAGAATAGTCATAGCATCAGCACTGATGACTTGGTAGTTAGTGGATGGTTGAAAGAGCATGAATAGTGATCTCCTTTCCATCTTGAGAGATGCTTCCTTAGTAAAAGGATTGAGATATCTTTGTTCTAAATGTGTCACATGTTTTCAGATTCATTACCCAGCAAGCTGCTTTTTTTATAGCTAGATGAGAAAACAGCTGTCCTTCTGAGGAGGCCTCTCCAGTTGCTTTTAACAACAATCAGAACTACCTGCCAGTTGTATAGTAAGATATGACCTACTCTCCACTATTGTTGCCAGACTGGCCTTTTTAATACTTCTGGTTATTGTCGCACCCTTTCTCTAAAGTTATGTCACAAACCCAGAGTTTCTTTTTGTAAAAGATAAGATCTATTTTTGTCATCACTTAGCACCACATAAGCCTGTGTATGTGTGCTGTACTAGACAAAAAATCATGTCAGTTGTTCAAAATCTCTTTGCAGAGTACAGTGCCTTTATTTTAATGTTCACGTGTTACAGCAATAAAAAGTCACAAGCTTTTAAAACACCACACAACCAGGCTCTTTTGTTTACTAATTAAGCTAATCTCCAGAGGGGGTACAAACCTGGTGTCTCCTTGAGAAAAGCACAAGAAGGATTTCCCCATTAGAGAAGGCTTTACTTTCATGAACAATCCCATATATTAGTGAGGCCAGATCACCTGAAATACAAAACAATTGCTAAATAAAAAAGCAACACATCAGCCAGGCCTTTTCTTACTGCTTCAGACTGTGTTCACAGGTTCTCACTTGGAGTTACTGCTGGTTATGGAGTACTTATCTAGTGATGTCACCCATTGCTACTAGATAGTCTGTGAAATCTTGAATCTTAATGGATCTGATTAAATGGAGTGTCTGATTTTTAACAGATTTCATTATCAAGAGATAATTTACAGGTATGTTGAGTTTGTAGTTAAAAGGACAGTCCTTTTTTTCAGTTGCCCAGTTTATCTTTGCATCCTGTTCCACAGACACCAGCAGAGCAGAACAAAAAAGTAATAAATTATTTCATCTTCCAAGACCATGCTTTTGGGATAGTAGAGATTTTTGTTAACCAGGAATTTTTGAAGCTAGTTTTGCCTAACCTTTTGACTACAGTACTGATGTATTTTGGGGTGAAACCTGATTAATAAATTCCAAGGCATTCATCAGTTTTATCAGCTATAAATCTACTAAACAAAATGTAAATACTTGTCTTTATGTGCTGTATTTATATATTGGGGTTGTGTAAAAAACTAACAAAGGCTGCCTCTACAAAATGAAGCACTTAAAATGAAGTATTGAGAAATCTATTTTGTGGTGAGATGAACCTCATTAAGCTTGTAGGACAAACATTTGATGAGGTAGGGATAATACTCATGTTTCTGTGCATTTCTGCTGTTTGGATGCAGATTTTCCCATCTACTAGAAAAAGCAAATGAGCAGAAATAACACAGATGGAATATAATCCTCTCTCAGTGCTCAGAGAATCATGCTTCCTGAGCTGGACACAACACTGGTTCATAAATACCTGTCCAAGCCACTGTGGCCCTCTTCCCTACTTTCCAAGAGATCTTTTCACTTCCTAAGGCTTTTTATCTCCTCACATTTTATATCTGCTGTTTCCTCCCTCCTCTCTTCACACTGAGTGTTCCTGAGGTTCATAATAAGTTTTCTTTCTCTTTGACATGCCTGGGTTTCTATCAGAATGGTAACAGGTATTGTTAATGAGGAAAGTGCAGCAGAGGAGCTTGCAGGGACAACAAAGGCAGGGCTTTTCTGTGAGTGTCTGTGAGCCCATGGCTGATACAGGTTGGCTTTCAAATCAAACACTGTCCTTGCTGCTAAGCCAAATAAAGCCGGAATCCCCCCCAAAAAATGACTGGCTACAGGTGACACACAGCTGGGTTTAGCTGTTGTTTTTTCAGGAGGCTACACCATTACTTTTATGTGGTCAGTTTCAAAATAAGAAAGCAACCCAGAATGTCAAATGCATAGGTATCACCATAAACCTGTGCTTTACAACTGTAAACTGTTCTACATTTATTACCTCAATGTCTTGCATACGAAGCAGATGGAGACAATGAAGTAACTCCTAAAGCTTTGTTTTTAACTACATAGAGACTTCAAGTTGAACAGCTATGATTGCCAGAAGGGATGATACTCATCTCCCCTGCCACCCACCTAAACCAAAACATGCTGCTCAAATACAAGCTTCGCTTATGTTGCTGCTTTGTCATTAATTCCTTCAGTTGTCTGCTTAATTTTGCTAAGTATGTGTTGTTGGGCATTCTATAATAAACTACATCTTCACCAACTTCATTGGAATCCTGCTCCAGGGAGACCTCAAGCAGCCTTCCAGTACCTGAAGAGGCAACAGGAAAGCTGGGGAGGGGCTTTTCATCAGAGAGGGCAGTGATAGGACAAGGGTTAATGATTTTAAACTGAGAGAGGGGAAATACAGGTTAGACATTCAGGAATAAATTCACCATGAGGGTAGTAAGGCACTCGAATAGGTTGCCCAGGGAGGCTGTGGAAGCCCCCTCCCTGGAGGTGTTCAAGGCCAGGTTGGATGGGGCACTGAGGTGCTGGAGGTGTTCAAGACCAGGTTGGATGGGGCACTGAGGCCCTCTCGCCAGTGAAGGAGCACTTTGATCTAGATAATCCTTAAGGTCTCTTCCAACCCAAACAATTCCACGATTCTATGACCTTTTTTTAAGAAAGTACACCATTCAGTTGTACCAAGAAATGAAATAACCAAGAAAGTAACTGCTACTTCTTGTATGTAGGTCAGACACCTTTGAAAAGAGGCACTGTGGAGATGCACGATCATGAAGGAGGGTATACGTAACTCTTTGTAGATGTGCCCAACAGAGCAGCTCGTTGTCCACTGGCTTTCCACTTAAAAGCCTGGTGAAGGCAGGCAGCTGCCCAAGCAGAGCTGACTAGTGGCATTCACAGCCTTCATCCATGATAGGAGTTACACTGTTTTTGTCTTACTTGTTTCCAAGGAAGTAGCTGCATTTCTGTGAAGGCTGAAAGTCACAAAAATTCATACTGAATTTGTACTTTGTGCCTTCACAGTAAATATAAGAAACATTGTGTGACAGCAAAAATCTCTTTTTTTCTGTAACAGGATTATGAAAAACACCATCAAAGTAGTGATTGGCTTTGCTTATTGTTGTTGTGTCAGGGATTCTCCTTCTATTGGAACAGACTTTGGTGAAGTGCTATCACTGTGCTGCCAGTTCTTGTTCTCTTAGAGCTGCAGATCTCCACTATCCAGACTGACACCTCCAGGTACCGACAGGCTAGTAAACCAAAACAAGCATCTCAGGTTTTTCTCTGCCTTTCTGCATGATATGAATTTTCCAACCTATCTTAAGTGATACTACAGAGAAGAAAATAATCTCTTTACCAATGATATTGTTCTGTGTTTTATGACTCCTAATGTATTCCAGGGACAACCTCACTGAAGGAAAAGATTTTCCTGGCACAACAAAAATTTTCTCAAATCAGCTGCAGCTGCCAGATATTTTCAGCTTTGAATTGTTTGCATTTATTGGGCCTGGAGTTGGTTCAATGAGGCATTTCATGTCTGTCTTGTGTCAACAGTTTGTGAGCCTTGAAGCAACTCCAGTGATCTCCCCCCCCCTCACATGTGAAGTGAAGGCACGGCTGCAGCAGCTGTGACCAGAGGGCTAGAAGCTGGAAAATGTCACACCACAGTTGAAGGGAAACTGATAAAAACCCATGATGTGATGATCTCTAAAAAAAAAAAATAACAAAAATTGCAAACAAATGCAAGCTACAGATAATACTCAACCTTCTCTCTATGAGAAACATGGAGAGGGTTTATATATGGAAGGATATTTTGAAGGTTAAAAATGTTTATTTAGCTAATAGTTCTTGATGTTAGGTATTAACAAACAGCTGTTCACCAACAAATTATGAAACAGTTGCTCACTCTAAAACAAACATAGCTTTTAACAGACACCTAGCTGGAAAGCTGGATTGGGAAGAAACTAGCTCAGCTAAAAAGTCTGTCACACAAGAGGGTGAGGATTAAAAAACGGAAATAGGCTTCTGAGAAAAATAACATGAAGTTGCCTGTAACCATGGGAAGCTTTCTGCACTCATTGCAGTAGGACCAGAAGGCAGTTGCCAACATACAGCACAATCTATCAATCCACTGAGGTTTTGCAGTTCTCTAACACTTTCAGTCATCCAATTCCTGGAGCTATATATATGTAAAACGTTTTTCTGGATTGGTGAAACCAACTGTGTTCCATTTACCTGATCTTAGCCTGCGACTCCCAGGAATTCTCAGAACATGCTCTAGTTACTTGAAAACCTCAAACTGACTCTATAATTTATACTTGCAGGACAAAAGAGCTGCAACAAAAAGTGGTTCTTGTTGTGTTGTGGAATTTTTTTTTAGCAGCATCATGCAAATAAATCCATGTGCTCTAGTAACTAACTTGTTGCAAATTCGTGTAACAAAAGTGTGTGGGCAGCCAGGAGAGTTTTGCAGTGTTTAGCCAGAGCTTTAGCTGGTAGCCTTTCTGGGTATTTATTAAATGCTGAGGGCTATGTGGTTTGCACTGTGTTGTTTTCTTCTTCTTGTTGGGATGTTTTACTGCCTTTTACTGTTAAGACTTTGTTTCCTATGCTGTGGAGGCTGAAGGTCCAACTTCACCCTGTATGAAGTGTGTGTGTGGAGAAAAAAACAATGGAATAGTGAAACCGTGAGAGGTCAGGCTGCTGAAGCATCATCTGATGCAGTGTTTCTACAGTTTAGCAGGTCTGCCTCCCTTTACAGCCCCTCTATCTCTACCATTTTCCTCTACTCAGAGGGTGAGTTCTTCCATGTTAGGAGGAAGAAAACGTGGATGTAATTGCTGCAAGTACTTAACAATCTCCCGGGAACAAGTAACTACCTTTAATTGCTGGCAGCAGCTAAGCAGTGAGCTGTTCTCTTGAGTAGCATAAACACTTTGTGACCTTTGAACCCTCCTTTGAGAATCCCCTTGAGACAGAAGCATCACAGGTTGAGGAAACAGATTTGAAGACAAGCAGAACTGTAGAAAAGCATTAGCACACCACTGGTACAAATGCCAATCTGACATTGTGGTGGGGATCTTTTATTGGTTTCTGGAGCTCTTGAAGTTGTTTTAGGCTTTGAAAGAAGCCCTACAGATTGCACTATAAAAATACTGTTATACTAGACCTAATCATAAAGAGCACAGTCAATAATTACGCATCAGGACAAGAAATCATACAATTTTCATTCTCCATTTAACTTGTTAATTCTGTTTAGCTTGGACTCTTCCCATTCTTCATCTAACATCATTCCAAAGGAGCATGTGCTTGTGTAATGTAGGGATTTTCTCCACTACAGATTAAGCCAAATTTTCAGATTCTTGAGGTAGAAAATACCTTACTGCATATGGTATTTACTCTTTTTTGTGATGATTTTGCAGTCATGATCCTTCAACTGTATAATATATTCTCAGAGATTTATCAGCTTTGGTCATTGTGGCCCTATGGTGCAATGTAGGCCTGGTTATTCCTGACTATCATTCACCAGACTGAGTCAACTTGGCAGTCCCTTTTTCTGGAAATGGAAGGTTTTGTGTATCTAGGGTTTCTCACTAGGGCTTGCCATCACAGTAGCCCCCCAGTACCAGCTTGCAACACTCCTGTAAGCTGCAAAGATGGAAGACTGTTCTTCCACACACCACCATCTTTTGCAGGTGATTGCCTGTTATGTGTAGCATAGGGAAAAATGAGTAACACCAACTGTATCAATCAGTTGGTTTTAGCAAGTTTGGATTGGCTGGAACTCATCCAAATGACCTCTGTAGCATCTGTAGTTAAAAGCTTGCCTGTTTATTTATCTCTGTTGTACCTGAAATGAAGCCTACACTTTGTACTTTTTTTTTAATGTGGAATCTCTTCTCATAACATGGAAAAGATTTTGTCCTTTCAACTGTACAATACAGTTTTGTCACAAGGAACAGTTAAACAGTTCATGATGAATGAAATGTAAAGCAGAATTCTTGGGACCCAAATTGTTTTTTCTAATTTATATTTTCTGAGCAATTAGACTTACTCCAGCGCAGTCTTACAACAGTCTAGCATGCTTTTTCTCAACACTTTTGTACCCTTACCAATTTGGCAAATTTAAAAATAGCAGACCTGTATTGTTTCATAATTGACTCAAACTCAGCAAAGGTTTCCTTGCTGTATAAAGATGTAACGGCCAAAAACACAGCTTGGGGTTGAGATATGCAGTATAAAGGAAGGCTCTTCCAGCCCAAGAAGTTATCCTTTTTAACTGCTGATTTGGCACATGTATGGCAGCTATGTGATTTTTATATGTGAGTATTTAAAAGTAGAGTATAAGATATGCCTTAAAAATATCTACAACCAGTAGTCTGCTATAGTAATAGCTAGCATGTCTTACAGTTGCATTATTTTCTAAAGTTTAGTGTGAATAAGCAAGGATAAAATGCTCTGCTCTAAGAAAGCAAAAAAAAAGCTACACTGGAATTTGCAAGAAACACTTACATGAACTAAGTTCTAAATATGAATCTGAGCGACCGGACAGAACTTTCCATCTTACAACTGAAATAACTGTAAGTAGAAAAAGAGGGTAAGTCAATGTGTCTGCTGCTGTGCTGCAGCTTCCTGAGGTGGTGAAATGATGATGTGAAACCAATACTGCCACATGAATCTATACATTCCTCATTCTGACGATGGCTTGTTCTGGCTTACCAGCAACTTCATTTCTTGCTTGTCTATGCTGGAATTTACACTTTCAGCCCCTTTGTCTTGCTCAGGGACACAGGTGCAGCCCACCGGGATAGTGACGTAGTCCTCGGTGTAGACGTAGCGGCCGCCGGCGCAGGACGCGGAGCGGCGCAGGATGACGGTGGGCATGTACACCGGGGTGCTGCGGAAGTGGAAGTCCTCCTCCCCAAAGGTCCCCATCAGGCAGCCTTTGCACAGACAGTAGGCTTCAGGAATGTATTTAGGATACCTTGTGGGGTCATACGAAATCCTACAGGGAAGTAAAGAGTAAAGATTCATCAGTATCTCTAAAAGCACATGTATTCCTCTGGAAAACATGATTATAATGTGATTTGACCATAAGCATTTATATAATGTGTTTGTTTTCTTTGCCAGGAAAAACAGCTGCAGCTGTTGCTGTCTGGCTTCTTATTTGTAAAGTGCACAGAAAACTTACAGAACTGATCAGGTCCTACAGTGCACACTGAAGTGACTGGCTTTCTAAAATGTGAGATTCAGGGGTTTAAGCACAGTAACTTTTGCATTTTGGACTGAGTGGGTAAAGAGAACTTTAAAAATGACACCTGGCCATTTCAAAACTTTTGATCTGCCTTGAATTCTGAAAAAATGGATTGGTATAAATCCTTGTTACAGAGTCTCAGAATCATCAGAGTTGGAAGGGACCTCTAGAAATCACCCAGTCCAACCACCCTGCTAAGCAGGGTTGCCTACAGCATTATAACATTATTATTGTTGAAACTATGACATGGTGGTTTTAAATTTTATAATTTAAAATAGAATTAAATTGTAGTAATTTTTCTGCAATTTGTCCTCCCTGGTATACCTGGGGTTATAAAGGTGCCTTCCTCTTGAAAGCAGAACACTATTATTTCTTTAATTTAGCTCCAGTCTCATCTTCTAACCACAGAAGAGAACCTTTTGCATGCCCACACTGAAATAAATGATAAAGTTGCTGACTTCTCTGCCCTCTCCTGCTACATTCTGAAGTAAAGCATTGCCCCAAAGCTTCAAGAAAATAGCCTCTTATTTTTTGTGTCTTACAGTTTGTTGTTTAACCCTTTATTTTTGCTTATTAATACCCTGTCTCTGGAAATTTCTCATTAGCAGGAGCTGGAAAGCTTGTAAGCTAAGTACAGCTTGGACCAACAAAGTCCAAGCTCCAACATTCCTTTCTGGATGTTGCTGGATGCAAAAACAAAGATATGATGCTATGGTCTCAAGCCATACAGATCCTGGCTGACCTATACCCATTCTTTTTAGCAAAGAGAGTAAAAGCTTGTTTTTTGAAAGGAAAGATGAAGTACACAGCAGAGTCCACATACTGGAGTGTGTAGCCACACTGCTTATTGTGGTGGTGATGCATTTGTTGCTTTGTTCTTTTCCTGCTTCTACAGGACGTAATTGCTGGGCATGGCTGTAACGTGTACATTATTAGAACTGTGTGTCAGTATTCTAGGAATGATGTTTGCACCCTCCAGAAAAGGATGATTTTTTAAATATGTTTAACTCCTATGCCAGCTGTCCTCTGTGTACCTGTAAGCTTCCTCCAGATCACCTTCTGTACTCACACCGTTCACAGAATCATCACAGTTGGAAAGATCCTCTGAGATCACAGAGTCCAACTGTCAACAGAAAAAAAACCCCAAACAAACACAACCAGCCACACACACTCCATCAAAAAACATCCACAGAACCCCTCACAACTTCAGCCACTAGAGCATGCCCTGAAGTGCCATGGTTCTTGAATACCTCCATGGATGGTGACTGCACCACCTCCCTGGACAGGCTGTTCCAGTGCCTGACCAGTCTTTCAGTATAGAAATTCTTCCTAATATCCAATCTAAACCTCCTCTGCTGCAACTTCAGGACATCAGACCATACAGAACTGTTAAAAAAACTAGCCCTGCTTCAGCAATGGTTGCACTGTCCAGCTGGAGAGGGGCGAGACATCTCTCTTTGGCTGGAGAAGCATTCAGCCCAGAAGTGCTGCCAGCCACCTCTTGGTGCTCCTCCTGCAGAGCCCATCCCCCTTCAGGAGGATGCTGACCCCGAATACGTGATCAGAAGCACTCATCCACCTGTCAGCTAACAGAAAACCCTTTTCTGTCCCTTCCCCCTGCTCCTCCTTTCACACAATAGATGGTTAGACCTACACATGGTGCATAGGAGAAGCATCCTACAGGCTGTTACTGGCACACAGAGAGTATGAAGACACATTGGGAGGTCACCTAGTCCAAATGCCTTCATCAGGCAAGCTCAGATGCATTTGCCCATGTTTTTCCAGCCTGTTCTAAAAATCCTCCAGAGGAGATCCCCCAGCCTGCCCAGAGGCTCTGTTGCAGTATTTCACTGCCTCTTTGTTTGGCAAGTTGTCCCAATAGTGAAGCTGAGAATTTTTTTCTTGCAAACTAAATAAATAATTTCACATGTTTGGATAGGAAAGTTCAGCAGCTGAGCCTAAAAAACGGAGTAATAGTCAGAGATTTTATATGAGAGAATGTTGAAGCTTGTAATGTTTACTGTGATGTACTGCAAAACAGTAAAAATTCTTGCACTGGGTTTTAAACTATCTTCTACTTGGGATCAGGATAGGACCACCACATAGTAGATTAAGTGGGGCAACTATATAAGAAAAATGAATAAATTAAATAGTCATCATCAATATAATTATTTAGGGAGTGATACAAACTGAGTATACAGTACTGCCCCCCTCCCACAGTAGTTTTCAAAACAACCAGTTTTGAAAAACACAATGGACTTAAAGTGATTCCTAAATTGTGTTTCCCAGAACCACATCAGAGTTTGTACCACTTCCTTGCGTATCAAACCGTTAGGCCTTTTATCTTTTCAGGTGGTCTCTGAGGTGAGGTTTCAGCTGTGGAAGAGGCAGCCTAAGTCTGCCTTGAGCTGTGATTACAGTCACTTCTAGTCAGCAAAATCTGCACTTGCCGAAACAGGCAGCCTAGCTATCCCTCTTGCCTCCACCCTTGGATTGATGCTAATGTTCTGGTCGTAGGACAGATCAGGGAATTCATTCAACTGAAAAGTAACCTCATCAAAAGCTGGATTTTGGTCCTTCAGCTGTCTTGCCACATAATACAGAGACCTACACAAATAAGCTAGTGTGAACAAGCAGCTTTAGATGGGGGCAAAAAGGAGCTGCCCTTTCCACAAGAAGCAACACCAGTTTATCAGGTTAACAAACATAAACTTCTATCATCCAAGAAAAGAGACTTGGGGTTGGGTTTGGGGTTTTTTTTGTTTGGTTGTTTGTTTTGGTTGGTTTTTTGTTTGTTTGTTTTTTCCAATGGCCATACAATCTGAATCTTTGTCTTTTTAAGGAATTTGTTTTCCACAAAGAAACTGCAGTGTTCTCACAGCCAGACATCTGTGATGGCGCAGATATTTTTTGCAAAGGTTCTCTGTCCCATTTATACTTGCTTACTTTCCCCAGGAAATACCTTCATGTTTCAGGATCTCACACCAATGTGAAATAGAATGTCTGGTATCCAGCAAAAGGAGAGAAAGTGGAATACAGGCTTTTCTCCCATGATATGTTCCCATTTCCAACTCAAGTGTGAAGTGGTAGATTGTTAAACATACCGTATGTCAAGTCACTGGTATTTCCTCTACTGTATTATCTCTAGCACCTGGTTTATGATGTTACTGGAAAGCAAGAACATGCTTCTGGACACAAGCAAATGAGTTTTCACTAATAACAAGAGAACACTGTCACTGGAATCGTTGTCTACAACAAGCTTCCTCTTTGATTCCTATGTGGCAAAAGTCAGGTATAAGTGAGGGGATTTTTGGAAGGATGGTGGGGGTTTCTACTTTCTGTAGAAAAACTTCTTGCATTGCTAACTTTGCTGTGGATACCTCTGCTCCATCATGTGAGGATTGGATGGAACTAGAGAGGACGGCCCCAAATATGTATCCAAAATATAGACATGGTTTTGGCATCCAGACTAGAACTTCAAGGCTAAAGACTAAAAGGAATGCCTCCTGAAATTAAACACTGAACTCAGAAGTCAGTAAACTCTAGAGCCATAAGCAAGGTTCTGCATCTTCAGCTGAAACCTGTTAAGAAAGGCCATATAACTAAAGCCTCACCTTTCTAGGCAACCCAGCCTGATTCGGGTCTGACCTGCTAACAAACATCAGTGACCTAGCTGTGTAAATGCAGTTGAGTGACCTGCACCCTCTGCTGTATTGAACATAATCACTCTGGGCTTGTAATGATCACAGCCTCAGCTTCTGGAATTGGATGCATCTCCATTACTCCAAGTACTACAAGTCATGTTTTTATGTCTTCTCTTAGAATGGGGCAAATGTGTTTGATCAGGTTAATTAACTTAATAAAACACATACTCCAATTTCCCTCTCTTTCCTGTAAGTAGTGAAAGATGCACCTAACTGGACAGAACAGAAGCAGATGGAAGACTGATAAAACACATACTCCAATTTCCCATTCTTTCCTATAAGTAGTGAAAGATGCACCTAACTGGACAGAACAGAAGCAGATGGAAGACTGGTGGAGAACCAGAGAAGTGCAACTTGCCCCTGGCACCCAAGTGTTCCCTGCATCCTTGTGTCATTTTCTGCACACTAGACAGCCCAACTGTTTTGATGAGGGTTGCCCTTCCATGAGCACAGGTTACTGGTACCCAAGGCTAACTCTGCCTGGCCAGCACTCCTGCTTTACAAGTGACAGCAGTGAGCTATACCGGCCTGCTGTGTTTCAGTCTGCTGGAACAAGAAGCAGGTTTGTACTCAACTGGAACTGCTAATGAAGTGTGACTAGTTCTAGGCTGCTTTTCCTTATGACCCTACAAGTGCTTTGAGAGCTCCCAGTGAAAAACAAACTTCCTGCTGTTTATGTACTAAGCCTGGAAACTCAAGAGAAAAGTTTCTGTCAGAAGTAAAACTCTTGCAAAGACTTAATCTATCTTCTCCTATACTACTACTTTCATATGTAGTATTTTTAATAATATTATCACTTCATAGTTTTCAACCTTCTAGATCCAGTGAGTCAGATGCTGTGCTGGGGTAGGCAGATACAGCTGACTGTTCACTGTTAGCTGATCTGTTAGAAAATCTGTTAGAAAATCACTGTTAGCACCAGGCTAACGGATGTTATCAGAAGTCTACTAAGACCATCATCCCTTTACTTTGCACCCTGAAACACAGGATTAAGAGCTAAGAATTTTTTTTTTCTTCTTTCTTGGCAAGACATTTATTTCTCTATAGCAGGTGTACTTTTGTTCACATTATGCTTAGTTTGTTTTATATACAGCTAGTAAGTACAGTGCTTGCAT